TAGTTTGTTCTGTTTGTTGCTGCTGAAAGAATTTGTGATACAAAAGCTGTTGCTGAAAATTACTGATGCCTTGAAATATGCTTGGATTAATATCCTGTTTTGCTACAGCCTTTAGAGAAAGTATGTACCATAGCAGAAGCAGTCTTAACTGATACACAAATTACTGACTTTTGATCTGAATTAGTGATATTTAAAATATCACCCCTAAATTCTTGCTCATCTGCTTGCTTAAATATTTAACAGTGGTATTTTACCAAGTCAAAGTTAGAATGAGGAGAACCTAAGCTAATTAGGACTGAAGTCTATCCTAAGCAGAAAAAGTAAGGGAAATCTATAGCTGCGACATAGTTAAAAGATCAACTAAGTATTCTCACAAATGACTAAGCACTCTTTCCACTCTTTCTCCATTACTAAAAAGGTTGCTAAGAGTGGCTGCAGGCAGTATTTTGTAGGACATAATTCTGTAGCTCTAAACTTATTCCCTGTTCTGCTACACGCTACCTCCATGATCTCAGACAAGTCCCTTGAGCTTTCTCTGTCTTACTTCTTAATCTGTTAAAATAACAGTAAGGGAGATGGTATCAGGACACATGTATTAGATTATATGTACTTGAGGACCATAGTAAAAACAGTCTGTAAACACGCTGAATCAGGCCCCATTCAGAACTTATTTATGTCCAGCGTTACATTCGATTTCTACCCAAATTAGTACTGCAGGGATTGACTCTGAGTATTTCTTTGCAGCAGTTGATCAGCCAGTGTTGATCCAGGGATGAGCTGTAATTTTTGATGCTGTCACACAGAGAGAGACGTTGTGATATAACGAATGTTTAGATAAACTGAAAATGATGAACACAATCATGTTAATTTCAGCGCCGTTATAAATGCAAAATGCTGGTAGAAGTCAAGTGGGAAACAAAGACACCAGAAGTAGGGAAAATGTCTTTAAGCTTCTAAGAAGCTATTACAAAGTCAATAAAGAGATTTTTGCTGCAGAGCTTCTGCCTTCACAAAATGATTTGCCTCCTGGAACAAGAAAATGATATGTCACCATAAATAGATAGTGAACATTTCCTTGGAACCTTGATGAAAGTGTTCAGTTCTTTTTCTTTATATAACAAAGCCTTGAAACTATTCACTTTGAACCCTGTTTAGGGCTTGATCTCTCTTTTTTTATTTAATTGTGTTATTCTTCAAAGCATGTAGTAGCAGTGATGAGGAGGAGAATGGGGAAGGAGTCAAGAAATATTAAACTTAAAAAGAAATTAAATTTGTTATTAATTGTTGTAGCTCAGTGGGGGAAAGAAACAGCGCGCCAGAAGTAATGTAGTCGAGCAAGGAGGCAGAGAAGCAGGGGACATAGGGATGTGTTCACAGCCGCACCGCGGATCTATTCTGTGGCATTAGGCAGGTTATTCGATGAATCTTTTAGTATCTTCTCTGAAGAATTGCATTTAGGGTAGCCCTGGGAACCCAACTAATGTTTCTCTGGGTGTGCTTTTATATCCGTTCATGAGTTTGTATGTCTTTTACATCTGTGGGATGACTTATTACAAACAAATACTTCTCAGTGGTGGATGACTCGAGCGAAGAAGCAGCTGAATTAACATAATTGGCACATCTATAAATAGAGGCACTCTCCCTGTCAAGTGTTCCTTCTAGCTGTGATGGATATTATCCGTTTTATCTGTTTGTTCCAAGTTTTCTATCTCGTTCCTTGGAAAAGAACGAGTGAAGTGAACTCCTAGGTAAAGAAGGGGCTTGTTTGCCCGGTGGAGGTACTTCTGAGACGAACACGTGTCAGGGAGCTTTTCAAGCATCACTTATATCTTGCCTAACATAGTTTGCGCAGCTGGGGAGGCTGTAGGACAGGGCAGGCAAGGGGGTCACAGCCCTGCTGGGAAGGCAGCTGGGAGCCCGCAGCCCAAGCAGAGAGGCAGGGGTGCTGCTGTGAGGGACTGAGCGCACCCTGGCCTCACGGGAAGCCGAGGAGCTTCCTCGGCAAGGACAGGAGGGGATAGATGGAGCACGGTTTGTTTCCACTCAAAGTAACTGCAAACAAGGACCTTCTTTAAAGGTAATAGTCTGTAGGAAAGACTCCTATACAAACTTCTAGGTTTGTTCCATCTTATTTGGTTTCCTGGAATTTCTCCTGTTTAGAAAACTGTATTTTTGGTTTTGTTTTTTTTTACTAAGTCCAATAGCTATCGCTGCCATTATTGCTTTTGCTGCCTTTTTAAAATCTTTCTGGAGAGCTCAGTATTTGTACAAGATCTGGGCAGATCCTTGTCAAAGCTGCAGTCACAGCTTGGCCTTGTCACAGCAGCCCTGCAGTTCTGTGGATCACTGCATTTCCACATGCAATCTCCTAAATATTTCAGACCAGGAGTTTGTGAGAAAGAATAGAGTACAAATTTTAGTGTCTTGCTGCTACTATTTTGAAAGATATTTAGGTATTAAAGGATACACATAAGCCCTAAATGAGACTTTCGGTCTTCAGTATTTCGCTAGCTCCAACAGTGAGTCAAAAGCCATTTAAGTTCCAGGCTATAACGTTGAGGAATGTGTGTTCTCCCACTTTCATTTAATAGAGACTCCTTTTTTTCTCCTCCTCCTCCTCCTTCTTCTTCTTTTTTTTTTTTCTGTTTTGGTAAATAGTTTTGGCTGGTTTGTTACATGTTAAAGTACATCCAGACTAGAAAAGTTTGTATCTGTTAGAGTACTGTGATACGATGTATCTCTGTAAAGCACTTTTCATGTTTTATTTTTATACTTATTGTATAGTAGTACATAACAATTACTGCATGTCTGTGTTTCATTGGCATGAGGAGAATAGTCATTATGAAGCAGGTTTGTCAGCAGCTCTGTGAGTTAAATATTGAACAGTAAAATAAAGGGAATAAGATGGTCTGTTTTTCATGTGATTATAAGGCTTGCATGATACTTATTTTTCCTTCTGTATTGTACTGCTCAGTGAATGTGTGGAGGTTTCTACACTTGGCAGTTGTCCCTTTCTGTAGCTGGCACCTGTAAAAGTAGTAGCAGCGTTAACAACGGGCTCTGTATTTCAGAAGAGGTATTCTAGCAAAGCGAGAAAAAGTCTGTGTGTTGCCCATACGTTGCTCTGAAAAAGAGCAAAACAGAATTTATGGAGTTTGTTACTCAAAATGGTGACTGAGTATAGGTTGTGAGTGGGAATAAGAATTGACATCTGTTATGGGGGGCTAGGGAAATCCTTCAAAGAAATGGTTTGAGCTCGAAGTTGTAAAGGTCATTTGCCAGTTTGATGTATACTACTACATGTATTTACGTCACTGCTTTCTGTGCAGCAAACTGATGTTTACTGGGAGAGACCTGTAGCCTCATGAATAGCTTGCTACATTAGAATGACCACCCAGACTCATATACACTGATTTCCAGTTTTCTTTCGGTTAAATCTGTGTTGGGAACATTTGGGACGTAAGGAATGCCAGCATCTGATGCAGAATCGACTAACTTTAGGAGGATTTTTGCCTGTGAATGAACTGAAGAATTATGCCTGAACTGAAGAATTATGCCTGTTGCAATATCACTTGCAGATTTGCAAACAAAATGCCGGATGGAGACTGCATGAATTATCTTTGATTAGACATTAGTGGTTGTAGAAAGAGTTACAAAAGTCATGATATTATCAAGTCAAAAGTAGAGCCTATAACTGACAGTATGTGATGCTACTTATTCACCATTCTTTAAGTCACTGTCCTTTCCTCCGATCATACTAACTAGAAATGCTTGACCATAAAGTAAATATACATGAGAAGAAAATTGCAAAATGAATGTCTACCTTTATAAAGAGATTATAGCAACTTCAGAGTGGTAGTGACTAGAGAAAACAATTACCTCCTCTTCCTCGTATTCCCTAAGTGGCTGCTGCTGTAGGTACAGGAATGGGAAATAACGAAGAGATCAACAGTTCTGCTCTGGGTTGAGTTCTGCATGCTGCTGTGCTACCAGCAAGTTGCTTTTGTTTCTTTCTGGATGGGAGAAGGGGAGAGCCGTTCTTCAGAAATGGCTCCCTGTGCTGAGCTCTGTTTCCTGTTAGTTGATCATCTTGTCGGAGTCTGATTGTCATCCTTGTGTCTGGCTGCAGGCGCTGATTGTCTAAGTGGGGCTTAACAAGAGGCTGAATGCCTTTCCAGGACCACAAATGAAGTCTAAAAAGTGATTTTGCTGTACTTGGAAATCACAGGCTACAGATGTCTGCCTGAGATGCAACTTAGTCGTTTTACCTTCTGAGAAACTAATTCTGTAGAGGAAAGTTTAGTGCAAAAGTTACTCTTTCACTGTCTTTTGAATGTAGTCCCCAGACCCTTTTTTACTTTCAAAGGTTGTGTTGTGTAAACCCCACTTACCTGTTTGTAATTGAAACTTAGAAAACAAAATGAATAGTGAAAAGAGAATGGAGAGCTAGGCAGCTACACCGCATGTTTCAAGCTTTCTTCTCTGACAATGTAATAACCCTTTACGCTCACCTTAATAATTCATGAATTGATTCTCTTTGCCTGAATTCATTGTATATCCTAAATTTGTTTCTTTATACCTTGGAAAAACGGAACAGCATTTCTAGTGCTTAGAAATAAAAAAATGTAGTGGAAAACAAGTACTGATAATTTTATGTTAAAATAACTTTTTTTAGGCTTCATAAAAAGTTGTGATTAAACTAGCAAAGATATAAATTATTGTTGAAGTTGAATGGAAGAAAAAATTGAAATTAGATGGACAGCGTTATTTCTAATTCTGTTTTTTAGTTAAATATTCAAAGTCCTTTTAGTACCAGAGGATAGTGACAAATACATTTCTTCTTGGACATTTCATAAATGTTCCTACTGGTGCAAAATTAATAGAAAAATTTCCCATAGCTGCTCTTCGAACTGATTTCCCAGATCTGATTCCTCACTAAATTGTGCAGAAGAGTTTGATTACCCAGCTGTCTAAATGCTTACTTTTGCTTTTTATATCAGGATGTCTTGAATAACTTGGGTTCCTGTGAGCTCGATGAAGATGACCTAATGCTTGACTTGGAGTTCCTAGAAGAACATCATCATCATCGTTCTGGTAAGTCAGACAAATGCTGGATGTCTTCAACTAGGTATTATATTTTTAGAAATACAAAGGAAATGTGTTCAGTACAATTACTTGGAAATAGCTAAGTTTTTTTTTTTTTTGTGCAGGGAAGAGTAATATCATTTTGTAGCATGACAGTTCTGAATGCCTTTGACATTTGACAAAAAGATGCTCGGTACACTGCGTTTGCTGATCTGTTGCTTGTTGCTTTTTGAGATGCTGTCTTTGCTGAGGATCTGGCCTTTTTCCCATGGATCACTTCACCTGGTCCTTTATCAAATGGAAATGATTTTTGCCGATACAGAAGATTTCCAATTGTGCAGCCACAAGAACAGACCCATTTGGTGTTATATTTAAAATGACTGCTGCCTCCTGGGCAGTTACCAAAAAGACTGTTGCTGATGTAATTGTGATCCTGTTTTGTGTGTGCCAGAATAGTATGCTTCGCGTATAGGAAGCGTTGACTTGAGACTTGAGCGTGATTTGATCCTTTCTTTCATAGTTAGTTAAAGCACTTTGAATTAACTAGAATTGCTTCGATTAATAACAATAACCAAGGTTAACTCAAGGTGTATTCAGAACAATTTTATGATAAACAAGACTTGATATGAAGTGTCATAAGAAACAAAGTCTTAGTATGTAGTGTCGCCTGCAGCAGGGAATTTTGTATTCCTTTTGCTGTGACGTGGAATGATGTAGGACCTAGTCCATAAACCAGAAGAGTCCTACTAATTGCAAAGGATTCCGAGGGGCTAAGAATTTATGTGAGTTTTGGATTTGATCATGGATAGAGCTCTGTGTTTGTGTTTTGTTGTGACATGGGTATGCTTATAAGCGGGAATAATTCTGAACCTCTCTTTGGCCTGCTATTTTCTGACACTTTATTTCTCCATCTGCGTGTGTAGCTACCTATAGGACACATTCTCAGACACTCATGCGGGGGGAGTGGGGGTTGTTTATGACAGATGGGCCTGCAGCTGTATGCTAACTTCAGTTCAGGTCCCTTCTTTGCTACAAATTTGGCAATGATTACAACTCAGCTGGTTGAATTATGCTCCAGTTTCAGTTGTTCTCTGTATGATAGTTCTGTAAAGTTTGTATTTTATCATTGTATTATGCTTTTAAAACCTGTGTGCATATCTGCTTTTAGGACAAAAATTTGACCTACTGTTCCATATTAGTTGGTAGAAGGCAGAGTAACCAGTGGAAATGCAAGGCTGTATCAGCAATGTGACCATAGCTTTCTAAGTTACTGAGAGCTAGAAGTTGGAGGATGAAACAAATTAACTGTCCTGAAGAGCGCCCTTTCTAACCAATACTGAGTAATGGTACAAACTGTTTACAGAAAGACGACTCATGGGTGTAGGAACACGGGTTTAAAAACTGCAAAACAAGCCTTGCTGTTTGTGAGAAATCATAATTTTAGACTTATTCATTCCTTGGCCGTTTTGGAAATGAATTCATTGGCAGAACCGTTTTCTATAAATCAACGCCCCTATCGTTTTGTACTTTACCTCACCTGTGTTTTCTTCTTTTCTGCTTATAAAGTATTGAATTAACAGTGACAGAAAATTTATGTCCCGCATACTATTATAAGGGTTTAATAGCAGCTTCTGGAACAGCTGAAATCCTAATGCCTAAATGACAATACACTTAATGGAAAATAATTAAGATGGAGGTGTGATATGGTACATGATCTTTCTACTGTTGGCTTATTATCCAGAGCAGATAAGAGGCTTTTAAAACAGAGCTATCTATATTGCAGTTGGAAGACTGATGACCATTTGTATTTTGAGCACTAACGTAGAGGCCTACACTGCAGTATATGCATCATCTTTAAACACAAAGGAGTTCTTTTTATTAATATTTACTCTGTGATTTGTTTGGTTCGTGGTTGCTGTTAGCTGCAGAAAATTCAAGATTTGTTTTTTGTCGCTGTTGCTAGATTAGAATGAAGAGTTGAAAGGACAGATCTACAGTATAAGCTGATAGAAATTCACCAATTTAAGCTGATGTCTTTGTTTATACTAGCTTAGGATCCAGCACGAAATGGTTAGACTTTGTTGCTTAAAAGTCCTCATCTTAATCCGTATTTGGATATTGAAATAAAAGGCTTGATTTTTAGAGACTTTCGGCACTTGAGGTATATAAAATCCTAAAATTAGTTACTGACGTCTAAACATCTTTGATAGGTTTCTATTCTGATTGCTTTATTAAAGTGTGGCCCACTTTCAAGATTAATCCCTTTCAAACAAAATTCTTTTTAGTAATTTCGAATCAATCTATTCTGTTTGTTTTGATTTTTGGGATTTGTTTTTTTTTTCCCAAAAGGCCACTCCATTCATATTTAGTTAGTATTCTTCTGACCTGCTGCAGTTTAAAAACATTATAAAATATTATAGATGCAATTTTTTATGAGCAGCTGAATACAGAAGTGATCAAGCGCTCACATGCAAGATATACAACTATTTTAATGCAGAGCTTTAAACTTTTATCAGCCCATCAGAATGGAAGTGATCATATTTCTGGGCATGCACCTATCAGCCCTTGCAGATAATTGGGACGCAGCATACTTATAAAAGATCTTTAATCTTGCATCCTTCATAAACAAGATGACGACACATATTGCACTGAAGATGAACCAGTACTGTTATGCCAGAATTTGTTATTCTAATAGAGGTTATATAAAGCGAGGGGCTATTTTAATTCTTTTAGTATGTGACCTGCCTGAAAACAAGATTACATCAAGTAATTTGCTAGCTGTCTTTTTTTTGGCTTGTTTTTGTTTTTGTTTTTAGATTTTTCTTAAAAGCCCTTTCAGGCAATGGGCTTGATCTTTTATACGTGGCTCGCTTTACCAGAATCATTCAAGACAAGCCTGGACATGCAAAGGTGTGTGCTTTCATTCCCCCTCCCCCTCCCCAAATGATTAGTCAGCCTCATCTTCCCTGCTGGTATGTACTGCCCATCGTATACAGGCCTTAGCCTTGAGTTATCTAAACTTTACATATTTAAACAGTTTTGTGGCAATATTCATTTACATTTCTGATAAGTTCCTTAAGCTCCTCTGATACTACAAAGGGATCTGTATATGTGACAGTCACGTGTGTATTGTACTGAAGTCAGCTGGAAATTAATGCATGTGCTTCCAGATCTGTTATCAAAATGATCGTGTTGACGAGCGTCAGAATATGACGTGAGGATGTCTTTTGCATGGAAATCTTAAAAACATCCCCTTCTGGAAATCAAACATACCAACGCTACTGTGACATTTGTAGTGTAATGAAAATCCTGTTGAGGTTTACACGCTGATTCTGATGGTAGTGTTTTTTCTGATTCAGATCATCAGTCCTGGAGCCATATCACAATTCACTTGTGCCCTGCTACTGCACTTTGGCTTCTTATAAGGAATTCTGTGGGGAATTACTATAATGAGAAATGTTCCAAGAAAAGTTCAATTCAGTAATTTAATAAATACATAAACTGTGCAGAGGTGTAATTGAAAAAGTATTCCGTTCTTAGATTCTTACTGAGGGGCAACTAATGAATCAAGCAAGTTCCTATTCTTCAAGTTCCTAAGAAAAATCTCTGAAATAATAAATGGCAGGGAAATGAGGACTGATACCACAGTCAAGTCCTTTGACTTGAATATCAATAAATGTTTCTTTGTCCGGAGGCTATGTGCAGCAAGCTGTGACACTGGAACGTGGCGATTCTCAGGTGTACCGCCACGATTAGTAAAGTGCAGTGGATGGGCTGGTTAATGAGAAATTGAGAAAGTTTCTTAAAAACTGGAGCTGCTGATGACAGTTAAGAAACTTCAACAGGTAAGGCCAGATTAACAATACTTTCAGCTTTTATCTGCTGTTGTTGAAAAGTATAGTATTTATTAGGGTGAGGATATGTCTTTTCCAGTTTCTGCTGAAGCTGACAATAACTTGATAATAAAACAGAATAATTATGATATGTTGCTCTGCCATAATTTTAGTGACTTTTTGTGAATAGAAAATCATACGCTGTTGGAAGGATTTCTGGGAGAAGTGTGTTTATTAAGGAGAGAATTTTAAAATAGGACCTAAGAGATACTTGACAGTCAGACAAGGGGAGGTTGTTGCAAAAAGTGAAACTGTTTATGAATTAAAATGCAGCACTAGAAAGGAGAAAAAGATCTCTTGGATCTTGTGGTGTTTGCAACTTTTTTTTTTTGTTATTACCCCAACTAATTTTTTCCTTGTGTCCTTGTTCTGTTCTCTCAGCCTTTCTGTAATGGTGCATGAAATGGGGTTCCTGCAAAAGGCACCATGAGTTGTAGAAATACAAATGTATCCCTACCTTTTTCTCTTCCTCCATCTTTGACAAGCCGTGGAAAGACAATACCTAAGATTCGGATGGAGAGTTTATTCTGGTGCAGTACAGTACCATAAAATATAGGTTCTTCCGCTGCAGATCTTTCACACAAGCGAAAAAAATGAATGAACGAACCAACCAAAAACTTATGTTTTTATTATGTAACTTTAACATTAACCATATAATTAATGAGGAGATCCCTGCAAATCTGGTGCAGATACTGCTACTTTGGGTGTAGATTTCCATGTCCGAATAGACTTAATACAACTTTAAAAGTCTGGAATCCTTCATTTCTGACCTTCCCTCTGTTAGTGAGTTTGCTTTATTTACTTATTTTACTTCTGTTTTTTATAGAGAATGTAAGATAGACATTTATTGTTCCGCCTAATACAATTGCTTTGAAATTTAATGAAATCATATTTCTAGAGTAGTTGGTGAGTGGAGAGCGCTACTGCATACAAGTGCTAAATATTAATCAGCTTGATTTGCTTAGTTTTTTACGTACTGTTCTTAAGCTGAAATGTTCAAAACTAGGCATAATATGACAAACATGATGAGCCTTGAGGGTTGTCTTTTTATTACTTGAAGTAAATTAGACTTTTAAAATATGCTACAGCGTTGATTTCCTGTTGTAAAATAATGAA